TTCAATTTTACTGGAAAAAAAACCAGTAATGATTATTTGCAAGGATTAAAAACATTATTCTGAGTGTTAGTATACTGCATGGATCTGCTAGCTAGTGGGATTTAAGCAACAGGATGATAGTTTATAATATAATCTTGGATTCTCAATTTTACAGAAAGTTACTCTTATTACTTTTTTTTTTAGCCATCAAGAAACTTTTAGCTTTTAGCAAAAGCAAAAATTAATTTTCAGCAAAATCTGAATTAGTTCAAATTGGCAAGATGATCCTGAATCCATACAAAAGTTCAAATCTTTACATTTATAAATCCTTGATGCTTCTTTGTACAGGATTATTTTCAATTGTACTCCTATGATCAAATATATATTTTTACTGGGATGTTTTCAAATATGCTTGGAGTTGCAACTGGATTCTTCTGCTTTGAAAAATTAACCATGCAACCATATGCACAGAGGAACAGCTTGGAATAGCTTCCCAACAGCTGTGGTGAACCTTGCAAATGATGTGGCTATTTAAATTATATGAAAAAAATCTGTTCAGTATGCCTTCAAAAATGCTACTTTTCCCAATTATACTATTTACACTGAGCAGTGACTCATTCCTATTGTGAACTAATACATTATAGCAACAAGAAACTCGAGGATAGAAATAATATATTTACTTACTTCAACAGAACAATGTGATAAAGCAACTGCTACTATTTGACTATTGGGACAGAAGTCACAGTACTGGATTGTGTTGTGGTGGCTCAAAAGAGCCTCTGCCAATAATTCCTTGGTTTTAACATCCACAAGCTGTAAACACAATAAATATTTAAGACATTTATTTCCCATGTTATTTGGAAAGTTACAGTTATTGTTATATAAAGTTGCAGATGTGATATTTATGCATGCAAGCATGTATGTGTGTATGTAACCTTCATAATAAAAATGATAGATTTTTACCTTATAACTATAATATTCAGGAAGGTCTCCCAACAAAACATCTATCATCCATCCATCCATCTCTGAGCATGCATGCAACATTAATGATTTATTAATGTAAATATCTTAGTTGATTCATTAAAAAAAAACACATTTAACTGACTTCTTTGTGGTTTTCAATATCATTGAGTGTAGTATCAAGAACTGGGGATGGGGAGAACAGTTTGTGTTGTTTTATCTCCTTCCTCTGGGACCAATCCCAATCGATCTTACCAGGGAGTGAGAGGTCCACTTGGCAGCCCCTGCTTTGTGAGATGCCCCAGGTTTTGATGCTGTCTCTATTCCTTTATAAGATCTACATAAAGCCACTAGATAAGACCATTCATCACCATGGGATGATACTTAGATGTACATCTCTGTTTCCTTCTTTCAGTCACTCATGCCCTGGTTATCTCCTATACGGATTGCAATGTGCTCTACATAGGGCTACCCTTGAATAGTATTCAGAAGCTGCATCTGGTGCAACTGCTGCATGAGCGGTTTTGGGCATCCCCAGGGTTGCATATGTAACACATCTGACACTTCAGCAAGTCTCCAGTACCTACCCTGCCCCAGGCCTAATAACATAACCAAGTCTTGAGGACCTTTAGGAATATCAAAAGGGATGTACTTAATCCAACTTCAGGGGGAAGGGTGTTCCATAAGGCAGGGGCCTTAGTAGAGAAAGAATGTTTCCTGTGACCTACCAAATGTAGGTCCCTAGCCAATGGAACCCACAACATGCCTACTCTGCCATATCTGATGGGTTGATACAACCAGGGAGAGGTGGTCTCTCAGAAACCCTGGTCCCATGGCATTAAAACTAGCACCTTAAATTGGACCCAGAAGCAAACTGGCAGCCAATGCAGCTTGAAAAACAGACATATAATATGTATTGTTCAAGCAGAGAACATAACTGCCTGTGCTGCTGCTTTCTGTACCAGGAGAAACTTCAGGGGCAGAGGACTTAAGGATTCAAATATAAAATATTTCAAATGCTATTTATTCTACAAAATCATAAATATTTTTAAGTTCCAGGAAATGTGTGTTTCTACGTCATCTGAACAAATGTTAATGTAACGTGTTTATCTTCTAAAAAAAGAGGGAAAGGAAAATATTCAAACAGCCAATGCTATATGATACGAAAGATCTGATTATAATATCAAACATGGTCTCTGAGCCTGGATGGAGGCCTAGAGTATGAGCTACACTGTGCATTATTTTGTGTTATTTTAGACAAAATAAGTGTTAGGTCACAAAAAGGTATAGAATTGTTCAGATTCAGTTTGGTGTCACATATACTATAGCTGGAGGATTCTCTCACAAAACAAGCTCTGCGTCCTAAAAGTCTAAGGGGAACAGAAACCTTGGTCTCTCAGGCAAGTCCTCCTGCTATATGCTGATAGTGTTCTTGAAGTTGTCTTGGCTATTTAAGGGATTCCCTTTTTAACAAGCTAATTTTGTACTCTGCTTCTTAGTATTTACGTACTAAGTTTATATGCCACCCATCTCTCCAAGAAGTGACTTTAGGCATCATTCCTGAATTAACATACAGTATAATATGGCACAACATTGTCCTCCTTTCACTTTTTCTACCATATAATTTTAAACAAGTAATACTGATTTCTAAAGTCGTACAATTATCTGAACTGATACAACACAGCAGTTTTTTCTACCTTAAAAACATTAATTTGTGAACACTGGTATCTCAAAAGAAGTTTAAAAACAAAATGAAAATACATTACCAATATATTATTAAATACTTACAAAAAGTTTATTTTTAGCTGCTACTACTATTTTTGTACCATTAGATGACCAGGAACAACATTTCACTAACACTTCCACTTCATCATGGTTTCCATCCCCATTTTTGAAGAAGTCTCCTATGTTAATAGTTTTCAGTTCATTTGCTGACTTCACATTCCAAAGCTTTAAAAAAAGTTTTCTGATTAGTATTACTGTTTGTCAGAAAATAGCAACATATTCAAATCAAGCAGCTAAGTTGATATAAAATTTCTTATTCATTNGAGCCAGTGAGATTTGAACAGCCGAACTGCAGAACTGCAGTCAGCTGAAGTAGCCTGCAGTGCTGCATTTAACCACTGCGCCACCTCGGCTCTGGTAATGTTCCAGTACGGTGCTCTGGAGAGCCCACCTGCCCACCCGAGCTCCTTACCTGTATCTGAGCTCTTTGGCGCTTCCGCGGATGCACATGGAGCTCATGGTGCCTGCGTGACGCTCCACCGAGCAGCTGGAATGTCATGGAGGTGTCACAAGAGGGAAGGATGCATGCATGCGCTATGCACATGTATGCACATGCTGCACATGTTCATGTGGTGGACGCTGGGCCCCTTTGCAATTGTACCAGTTGCAACGGGATCCAGAACCCACCACTGCACTGTAGAAACTATTCTCCACGAACGGTGGTCTTTCCCAAACTTTTCAACAGATTGTATAAATTATTTAGTCGAAATATGGGAACTGAGAGAAAAAAACCAAAACCAATGAACTGGCCTCTGGGAAAGTGTCTTCTCTGCTTGTATATGATAATATGAGAGTTCTCATGGCTGTGACAGGCTTTGCTCGGATGGCCGCCCAAGCTGTCTCAACTTTTTGGTGAGTGGCAATAGTGTTTATCCTGACATCTCTCCAGCTGAATAATTCTGAGCTCGGCTGGTCTAAGATGTTGTGAGGTAAAGGACACGTTGGATCTCTTCTCTTTCCACACGGTGTTCAGCCAACCGACAGCTAAATCTTAACTGAACATTGACATGAGATTATATTAGGATGCACAACATGTATCGCTCACTGATTTCTTCTGCCGTAGCTTATTTCCCAACTTACTTAGAGTTTAATTGAAGCATTGGACGCTAACCATAATGACGTGAGTGACAGGCCCACAAGTACATAACTATGCAAAATTATGTATGTGCATCAGGACATTTGATGTAAGCACATAAGTTATCAAATTTATGTAATTGTATTATCATAGATGGGGTCACCAATTTACTTCCTCATCCACAAGCAGAAACTCTCTTTTGGAAAATGGAGATACTCATTCATCCATGTCAAGGTTGATGCTTTTTCAAGGGGCAACTGGACTTTCTGGTTTTTCTTTGAAGATGTTTTGCTTCTCAACCAAGAAGCTTTTTCAGCTCTGTCTGAATGATAGGGAATGGAAGGATGTATACTTCTTGCAGACAGCTGGCCATTTGCATTGTTTTAGTGAATACAAATGTCCAACTGTCTACAAGGAGTATAAAAGAATGCAAATGTCCAGCTATCTGCAAGGAGTATAAATCCTTCCATTCCCTATCATTCAGACAGAGCTGAAAAAGCTTCTTGGTTGAGAAGCAAAACATCTTCAAAGAAAAACCAGAAAGTCCAGTTGCCCCTTGAAAAAGCATCAACCTTGACATGGATGAATGAG